TGAATCTCTTTTACTCACATATTTTTCTCTTTATAGTCAAACTAGTTGCAATATAATATATGCTTGTTGTTAAATGCACTATGATGTATAAATTGGTACTCTTCTAAGCTACCAGTTCACCATTTATTTAGAACACAAACTTCGATTGTCAACGGAATCGCCTCTATTAGCATTAAACATAGCATAAAAGTAACTTTTACATTAAACTCTTCATACTAATAAGAGCAATTATTTTATCATCCCAGGACACTAAAGAATGTTCTTGATTTTGATTCGTTGAATCTTGTCAAAATGATATGTTACTGACTTGTCATACTCAAAGCATACAAGTTACCATACCTAGAGCATGACATGACATACATGATCAATGCCATAGCAAAAGCATGTAGGACTCGTCTCATTTCCTCTAGATAACCAATAGAACTAGGACATTAGCATTTCTCAATGCCATGACATGCTTTAATCATGAACTCCTTTTGGAGCTATGAGCAATTAGGACATTCCTTCCAATGAATTGTACATTATATATATACATATATATATATATATATATATATATATATATATATATATATATATATATATATATATATATCCTTCTTTTCTCTAAATTCAAACTTTTAAGTTTTCTTAGTTAAACAAAGAATCCAACTACAAGATGCTTACACATCCTTTGCAGCCTATCTTAGTTAGAAATTTTGTCTATTCTTATCCATATTTGTCTTCTTCTTGAATATCCACTTACACATAATGGTTTTATGTCCAAGTGTTGGATTAACCAAGTTTTACACATACATGGACTAAATTTCGATTTCCATAGCCACCTTCTAAATTGCGGCCTCTAGGGCCTGCCATGGCTTCTGGTAGTTGGTAGACACTGATCATCATCTACCAGTTGAGTCATTTACCATAGTAATATAAAATCTATATAATTGGGTGCATGACGTCCTCTATGTGGTGGAGGTATAGGTATGTCAGATTCTTTAATAGTTCTTTCAATCTCTGGTTCACTGATATTGCCAACTTTAGGTTCTTCATTATTTGACTCCTTAATTTCATCAACGTTAATATGGCTCCCAGTAGCCTTTTTGGATATCAACTTCCTCTCACGAAAGACTTCCCTTCGAGCAATAAACATTTTTTTCTCAAAAAGGTTGTAAAACAACTACCCAAAAGACTTTTTGTGATATTTAATGAAATAACATATCTTAGGTTCTAGTTTGTTGAACGCTTCAAGATAAGTGTAAGCCTCACAATCCTAGACTTCAAAGTGTGATAGTAAGGAATGAACCCCACTCTACATCTTAGAGATTATTTCATAAACCTTATTAGTTGGCGAAAGACCAAGGACTCTTGTAACACTCTTCATGGTACAATCTAGAAACTATTTGTAAGAATAGTACTACTCATTAGTTACCAAATCAAACAATGATTTGATTCTCTATCCAACTACACTATTTTGTGACGATGTTATAGGTGGAGATAGTTTGTGAAACTGATTCATAATTCAATAGATGATCATTAAAATTTTGAGTAAGATGCTCACTATCCTATTAGATCTGAGTATCTCATCATTTTTGCCGATTTGATTCTTAACTTTGTTCTATCATAAGATTTATTGTCAAATAATTTCCAATTTCCTATCAAACTAGATATTTGGTAATAAAATTTTCATTTATATGTCCAAAAAATGATTCAACAAATGCATTTCATCGAAACTTTTAGATGTGTTCGAATCAACGTCTAACTACTGTTATAATACTAGTTTCATAGATTCCATGACTTGTTTTTAAATAGAAAACATATAAGCGTTCTACATTTAATTAATTCATAACCATCTCATGAAATATTGTATAAAAAATTCAGTCATAAGAACATAGAGTAAACATTGGCAAGGTTGATTCTTGCTCCTACGGATAGTAGCATGGGATAGGTATCCACGATCAAATTCATAGTTCTATATTTTAGTCTATTAATTCTATTTAGTTACTACACATTCTTGAAAATGTCAATACTTTATTTTGACTAAAATAATTATGGGTTAGAAGTAATATTCTAGTGGTATTATGAATTCATATATTTGATTGTGCCATACTCTTTGGCTTGTATCTTTTCACCTCTTACAGATATACTAGGCATCTATGCTTTATTAGTCATTTTCTTGTGTTGGAAACAACTAGTCTGTTTGAATATATCTCTAAATAAGCCCTTTTTTATCTTTGGTGTTTGCGGTATAAGTTCGGTGTACAAACTCTAACTTCCAGCTTTTGGGTCTTATTCAAAAATCATTTTGTATAAATTCTAAAAAATGGCAACGAAAGCTTTATAATTCGAATAAACTTTAAACCATTTTAACTCATATATATATATATATATATGTATCCACCAAGCAAGTATTACGTAGAAGAGATGTTATTATTCTCTTGTATTAATTACTTCTTAAACCTTTAAGAACTAAACCGCATTTAGACTTAAATAAGATGCATATAATGACTTAATCTCTACACGACACTCTGGAAAAGAGAAGAAGGAACTAGAGTACGATGGTCTCGACTTTCTAGAGAGACGAGAAGAGGAAAAGATCAACCAAATCAAATATACATGCTCTCTTTTATATACCAACACTTACTTAGGTAAGACTATAATTGCATTAAATGAAACCATGGCAAATATTACAAGTATGGGAGTGTAAGAGGAAACAAGACACTCAACATCTCTCGTATGGGGATAACCCATAGATTTTAGCTAGCGATGTGAGGGTGGGGTAAATTTTACTCCATTTTAAATAGCACGTGCATGTGTTATGGAACATTATATAAATGAAAGTCTAAAATATTGTTTACAACATATATATCATACTTTATGAGTTATTAGTTGATTTCTCTCCTGAAATATTATTTTCTTAAAATAATAATTTCCCAATTAAATACAAGAGTTGATATTATTTATTAATAATAAAATTATAATAAATAACCAACAAGTGACCCCTTACTATAAAGTGTGATCCTATAGGATCATATTTTATTAGAAAATATCATTCTATAATGATTCTTGAGCATATATCATTTTATAGAGATAAAAGAAGAGGAAAAGATCAATCAAAGAAAATAGCATGCACTTATTTACATACTAACACTCACTTACATAATACCATACTTGCATTAAATGAAATCATGATAGAAATGATAAGTATGGAAGTATAATGTAATGACCCTAAAATCTCAAACTATGTGTTGTAGGATATATTGGTTTGAATACGTTTAAGGATGAACTCGGGTAGTGAAGCGATGAAGTTTTGCCAATGTAAATTGTACATCCTTGTATGCATTGGATTATAATAGGAAATTTATCAGTCTTTAGCAAAATGTGTTGTATAGTAACGCTATAAGAAAATATCCATTTGTTATCTAGTGAGCAAGAAGGGCAAAAACCACAAGTTAATATTCGGAAAGCCTATATGGAAGGAAACTATTTTTGCAAAAAATATTAATTATTGGAGACATTAGTAAGTTGATTAGTTATTTATATGTATAGCAATATTTCATTTTATGACTTGTGATATAAATTACTTTTCCAATTGAAAACCATGTAACTCACACGTCTTCAAATTTACGTAGTTTGTGCTATGTGCTCAGGCTTGGAGATTGGTGTTTAGAAGTGTGCTGATAGACAAATATTTTGATGGACATAGAAAAGGTTGTATAATCTCTTCTCTTTTACTATGGTTGTAGATATTAATTTTGTAACACCAAAAGTTGTAACTCTGATATTTTTCAAGAACTTATTGTTAAGACGCATTGTTATTGTGAATAAAAATTATGGTAATTGTGCAACCACAATATATAATAGTATTTTGAAAATATTGGTGTTACATATAAGAGGAAGGAAAACACTCAACATCTCTCTATTGAGGACAACACACATAGCTAAGCTAATGATGAGAGGGTTGTGTAACTTTTTACTCGATCTCATTAACTAGTATGTGCATCTGTTATGTAACATTATCTAAATGAACTCGAACTAATCCAAAATAATGTACACACCATATAAATCATATCGTACGAGTTATTAGTTGATTTCTCTTTTGAAAAAAATATTTTAATAAAATGATAACTACCCAGTTAAATACAAGAGTTAATAGTATTTATTAATAATCAAATATAATAAGTAACCAATAAGTAACCTCTTGTTATAAGGTGTGAACCTATAGGATCATATGTCATTAGATAATACCATTCTATAATGATTCTTGAGCATATAAATCTTTCTCTTTTACCCATGGGAAATTGGTTTTCTTCTTCTTTAGACTTCCATTAATGACTGAAATTATGGGAGCATTGAAGTTAGAGTTTGTATGTTTGGCCACGTTTGTTCCAAAAATGGCCCTCAATATGCCATCCAACTCCATGATGGATCTTTACATGTCATTCATATCAGAAACATAATGAACTGATTAGATAAACATGTCATCTATTTAATTATGTTAACCATTTTCAACTCCCAACTTAACGGAAACTCATGTCGCTTTATTATGTGAATGTACACCCTACACTTGACACTTTCTCTTCCTACAACTAAACATTCAATAGCTGGAGGAACCTCAGGAAGAGATTTTTCAAAAACACAATCTTTCTTTTTGTTCATGGGAATTATTTTCAAACTACAAATTTTGAGAAGATTGATCAATTTTATCAGTTTATCCTTTTAGCGTTTTTCAAGTAGTAAAATTGTTATGAACAAATTTTCATTTACATACATCATTCAATGTAAAGTTACATTCTAATTTGGTCCGTAAAAGGTTTGCTGGTGAAACAGGAAGCTTAATCTTTGGGTTGGCAAGAGGGTGGATTTTGTGCGAGTTAACTCTTAGACATGAATGGCTCATGGTGTGGAAATCCATTGTTTGTTCTCTCACCATATAGTTTAACGGTGGTTCTTGGAAAATCGTCAGTTGTTCTCCCACCATTTGGTATAACGGTGGTGTTTATGAGAAGACTTGTATGCCACTGACGTTGTCCACTGTTGGTGGTGTTGTACTGATTGAGATCACCGTCAGCTGTGGTGTTTGCATGGAGGTACTTTGTGTCATTACGGCGGTGGAGGAAATTGGCCCTTCAGCAGTCGGCCTCCATATTTCATTTGTTGGAGCGGTGGTTATCGTCGAGCCACCTTGTTGTGATGCTTCACCGGTGACTGGTGTGAGAACTGGGGCGATAACTGGTTCCAGCTACATCATAAGTTTGTTAAGCTTGTCCGTGTCGCACCAGTTCCACTTGAAGGGTTTTGAGTATTCTAACACTCCTAAGGTGTACATGCAACCCTAGAAACCTTGGATCTATGTTTTACTAAGATACATGCAAATTTGATTTTTTCCAAGGTTCTCAACCTAACTAGCATGGCATGGGGAACTTGAAACATAAAAGCTAGTAGAAAAACATACATTTCTTGTTCCTTGGATTCCATAAGAACTTTGTGAGCCTAGCACCCCAAATGTGATGCCTCAAGTGTTTCACACAACACCACAACTCTTGGAATAACTTTGAGAGAAGTGCACAAACACTCAAAATCGGCTAGCCTCTAGTTCTTCACTTAGTGTCGATTTTGGTAGTCCATGGGGTCCTTTTATAGTGTGTCACAAGTAGGGTTACAACATGTAAACCCTAATTGACATGGCTTTTCATTTCCTCCATGATCCATGGGTTTTAGCCTCCATGGAGCACCCTATGGATTTAGCCCAATCAAATAAACCATGGATCATTAGCCCACTATATAAGAATGTATGATTTACACAATCAACCCCATATATTTAATTAGTCTCAATTTTGATCAAAAAATTAATTCCAAATTAATTATTGACCAATACTAATTAAATAATATTATTAATACATTAGAACTTATAATATATTAATAAACCATAAGTTTCCTTTTCTCATTTTATCTATCCAAGTGTCATGATGTCATGCAACCGAAATGGACCATGCCAACCGGGTCAAGTACATACCAGAAATAGTTATGAACTTAGACACCTAATCTAACAGTCTCCCACTTGGATAAGTCTAATAACTATAACTGCAAGTATGACTTCAGGAACCGATCAGCAATCGTAGCTCTTTCAAAGTCTCGCGGAACTAAGATAACCTACTATTTAAGATAAGAGATCATATAATCCTCTGCTCTCAAGATATCACCCAGACAAATACATGGAACAATGCCGTACTTATTTTCCAACAGTTTGTTTCCCGATTTCTGTTTTTTTGACATAGAACTTAATCGAACACATCAATTTAGTTCTGACCGGGCCCGGTACATAGTTGAAAACAAAATCATCGAGGGGCCCAGATATCGCTTTTAATTCTGCAAGTACTAGAAGGAACAGATAAACTTCGACTCATATGCTTGTTCTACTACTTGTTGAATAATACACAAAAGCACGTTTTATAACATCAAGTTACCAATGTGTTTTCGTACAATCAATGTATAACCAACTCATAGTCAACAACTCATATCTCTAGGTTTGAAGACTTATATATATTACCGTCTCACGATCACTCGCGATAAATTCCATGAAGTGATACAAGTGAGTGTGGGTTGAATCTAATACTCATAAATGATGAGCACTCATGAATGTTGTAGCAACCACTTGCTATGTCTTGCACCTTAGACATCTACAAACCCAATTAATCACAGTCTTGATTCATATCTACTTCCAACATATGACTGACTGTGGAGAGTTTGAATAATATGATATACCATAACATAATTATTCTGGAAGTCAAAACATGCAAAAAATTGAAATGATAGTAAACGATTGACAGAAGATAGAAATGATAAGTATGGAAGTATAATGTAATGACCTTAAAATCTCAAACAAGCAAGTATTATGTAGAAGAGATGTTATTATTCTCTTGTATTAATTACTTCTTAAACCTTTAAGAACTAAACCGCATTTAGACTTAAATAAGATGCATATAATGACTTAATCTCTACACGACACTCTGGAAAAGAGAAGAAGGAACTAGAGTACGATGGTCTCGACTTTCTAGAGAGACGAGAAGAGGAAAAGATCAACCAAATCAAATATACATGCTCTCTTTTATATACCAACACTTACTTAGGTAAGACTATAATTGCATTAAATGAAACCATGGCAAAAATTACAAGTATGGGAGTGTAAGAGGAAACAAGACACTCAACATCTCTCGTATGGGGATAACCCATAGATTTTAGCCAGTGATGTGAGGGTGGGGTAAATTTTACTCCATTTTAAATAGCACGTGCATGTGTTATGGAACATTATATAAATGAACTCTAACTAGTCTAAAATAATGTTTACAACATATATATCATACTTTATGAGTTATTAGTTGATTTCTCTCCTGAAATATTATTTTCTTAAAATAATAATTTCCCAATTAAATACAAGAGTTGATATTATTTATTAATAATAAAATTATAATAAATAATCAACAAGTGACCCCTTACTATAAAGTGTGATCCTATAGGATCATATTTTATTAGAAAATATCATTCTATAATGATTCTTGAGCATATATCATTTTATAGAGATAAAAGAAGAGGAAAAGATCAATCAAAGAAAATAGCATGCACTTATTTACATACTAACACTTACTTACATAATACCATACTTGCATTAAATGAAATCATGATAGAAATGATAAGTATGGAAGTATAATGTAATGACCCTAAAATCTCAAACTATGTGTTGTAGGATATATTTGGTTTGAATACGTTTAAGGATGAACTCAGGTAGTGAAGCGATGAAGTTTTGCCAATGTAAATTGTACATCCTTGTATGCATTGGATTATAATAGAAAATTTATCAGTCTTTAGCAAAATGTGTTGTATAGTAACACTATAAGACAATATCCATTTGTTATCTAGTGAGCAAGAAGGGCAAAAACCACAAGTTAATATTCGGAAAGCCTATATGGAAGGAAACTATTTTTGCAAGAAATATTAATTATTGGAGACATTAGTAAGTTGATTAGTTATTTATATGTATAGCAATATTTCATTTTATGACTTGTGATATAAATTACTTTTCCAATTGAAAACCATGTAACTCACACGTCTTCAAATTTACGTAGTTTGTGCTATGTGCTCAGGCTTGGAGATTGGTGTTTAGAAGTGTGCTGATAGACAAATATTTTGATGGACATAGAAAAGGTTGTATAATCTCTTCTCTTTTACTATGGTTGTAGATATTAATTTTGTAACACCAAAAGTTGTAACTCTGATATTTTTCAAGAACTTATTGTTAAGACGCATTGTTATTGTGAATAAAAATTATGGTAATTGTGCAACCACAATATATAATAGTATTTTGAAAATATTGGTGTTACATATAAGAGGAAGGAAAACACTCAACATCTCTCTATTGAGGACAACACACATAGCTAAGCTAATGATGACAGGGTTGTGTAACTTTTACTCGATCTCATTAACTAGCATGTGCATCTGTTAGGTAACATTATCTAAATGAACTCGAACTAATCCAAAATAATGTACACACAATATAAATCATATCGTACGAGTTATTAGTTGATTTCTCTTTTGAAAAAATATTTTAATAAAATGATAACTACCCAGTTAAATACAAGAGTTAATAGTATTTATTAATAATCAAATATAATAAGTAACCAATAAGTAACCTCTTGTTATAAGGTGTGAACCTATAGGATCATATGTCATTAGATAATACCATTCTATAATGATTCTTGAGCATATAAATCTTTCTCTTTTACCCATGGGAAATTGGTTTCTTCTTCTTTAGACTTCCATTAATGACTGAAATTATAGGAGCATTGAAGTTAGAGTTTGTATGTTTGGCCACGTTTGTTCCAAAAATGGCCCTCAATATGCCATCCAACTCCATGATGGATCTTTACATGTCATTCATATCAGAAACATAATGAACTGATTAGATGAACATGTCATCTATTTAATTATGTTAACCATTTTCAACTCCCAACTTAACGGAAACTCATGTCGCTTTATTATGTGAATGTACACCCTACACTTGACACTTTCTCTTCCTACAACTAAACATTCAATAGCTGGAGGAACCTCAGGAAGAGATTTTTCAAAAACACAATCTTTCTTTTTGTTCATGGGAATTATTTTCAAACTACAAATTTTGAGAAGATTGATCAATTTTATCAGTTTATCCTTTTAGCGTTTTTCAAGTAGTAAAAATTGTTATGAACAAATTTTCATTTACATACATCATTCAATGTAAAGTTACATTCTAATTTGGTCCGTAAAAGTTTTGCTGGTGAAACAGGAAGCTTAATCTTTGGGTTGGCAAGAGGGTGGATTTTGTGCGAGTTAACTCTTAGACATGAATGGCTCATGGTGTGGAAATCCATTGTTTGTTCTCTCACCATATAGTTTAACGGTGGTTGTTGGAAAATCGTCAGTTGTTCTCCCACCATTTGGTATAACGGTGGTGTTTATGAGAAGACTGGTATGCCACTGACGTTGTCCACTGTTGGTGGTGTTGTACTGATTGAGATCACCGTCAGCTGTGGTGTTTGCATGGAGGTACTTTGTGTCATTACGGCGGCGGAGGAAATTGGCCCTTCAGCAGTCGGCCTCCATATTTCATTTGTTGGAGCGGTGGTTATCGTCGAGCCACCTTGTTGTGATGCTTCACCGGTGACTGGTGTGAGAACTGGGGCGATAACTGGTTCCAGCTACATCATAAGTTTGTTAAGCTTGTCCGTGTCGCACCAGTTCCACTTGAAGGGTTTTGAGCATTCTAACACTCCTAAGGTGTACATGCAACCCTAGAAACCTTGGATCTATGTTTTACTAAGATACATGCAAATTTGATTTTTTCCAAGGTTCTCAACCTAACTAGCATGGCATGGGGAACTTGAAACATAAAAGCTAGTAGAAAAACATACATTTCTTGTTCCTTGGATTCCATAAGAACTTTGTGAGCCTAGCACCCCAAATGTGATGCCTCAAGTGTTTCACACAACACCACAACTCTTGAAATAACTTTGAGAGAAGTACACAAACACTCAAAATCGGCTAGCCCTCTAGTTCTTCACTTAGTGTCGATTTTGGTAGTCCATGGGGTCCTTTTATAGTGTGTCACAAGTAGGGTTACAACATGTAAACCCTAATTGACATCTCTTTTCATTTCCTCCATGATCCATGGGTTTTAGCCTCCATGGAGCATCCATGGAGCACCCTATGGATTTAGCCCAATCAAATAAACCATGGATCATTAGCCCACTATATAAGAATGTATGATTTACACAATCAACCCCATATATTTAATTAGTCTCAATTTTGATCAAAAAATTAATTCCAAATTAATTATTGACCAATACTAATTAAATAATATTATTAATACATTAGAACTTATAATATATTAATAAACCATAAGTTTCCTTTTCTCATTTTATCTATCCAAGTGTCATGATGTCATGCAACCGAAATGGACCATGCCAACCGGGTCAAGTACATACCAGAAATAGTTATGAACTTAGACACCTAATCTAACAGTCTCCCACTTGGATAAGTCTAATAACTATAACTGCAAGTATGACTTCAGGAACCGATCAGCAATCGTAGCTCTTTCAAAGTCTCGCGGAACTAAGATAACCTACTATTTAAGATAAGAGATCATATAATCCTCTGCTCTCAAGATATCACCCAGACAAATACATGGAACAATGCCGTACTTATTTTCCAACAGTTTGTTTCCCGATTTCTGTTTTTTTGACATAGAACTTAATCGAACACATCAATTTAGTTCTGACCGGGCCCGGTACATAGTTGAAAACAAAATCATCGAGGGGCCCAGATATCGCTTTTAATTCTGCAAGTACTAGAAGGAACAGATAAACTTCGACTCATATGCTTGTTCTACTACTTGTTGAATAATACACAAAAGCACGTTTTATAACATCAAGTTACCAATGTGTTTTCGTACAATCAATGTATAACCAACTCATAGTCAACAACTCATATCTCTAGGTTTGAAGACTTATATGATATTACCGTCTCACGATCACTCGCGATAAATTCCATGAAGTGATACAAGTGAGTGTGGGTTGAATCTAATACTCATAAATGATGAGCACTCATGAATGTTGTAGCAACCACTTGCTATGTCTTGCACCTTAGACATCTACAAACCCAATTAATCACAGTCTTGATTCATATCTACTTCCAACATATGACTGACTGTGGAGAGTTTGAATAATATGATATACCATAACATAATTATTCTGGAAGTCAAAACATGCAAAAAATTGAAATGATAGTAAACGATTGACAGAAGATAGAAATGATAAGTATGGAAGTATAATGTAATGACCTTAAAATCTCAAACAAGCAAGTATTATGTAGAAGAGATGTTATTATTCTCTTGTATTAATTACTTCTTAAACCTTTAAGAACTAAACCGCATTTAGACTTAAATAAGATGCATATAATGACTTAATCTCTACACGACACTCTGGAAAAGAGAAGAAGGAACTAGAGTACGATGGTCTCGACTTTCTAGAGAGACGAGAAGAGGAAAAGATCAACCAAATCAAATATACATGCTCTCTTTTATATACCAACACTTACTTAGGTAAGACTATAATTGCATTAAATGAAACCATGGCAAAAATTACAAGTATGGGAGTGTAAGAGGAAACAAGACACTCAACATCTCTCGTATGGGGATAACCCATAGATTTTAGCTAGTGATGTGAGGGTGGGGTAAATTTTACTCCATTTTAAATAGCACGTGCATGTGTTATGGAACATTATATAAATGAACTCTAACTAGTCTAAAATAATGTTTACAACATATATATCATACTTTATGAGTTATTAGTTGATTTCTCTCCTGAAATATTATTTTCTTAAAATAATAATTTCCCAATTAAATACAAGAGTTGATATTATTTATTAATAATAAAATTATAATAAATAATCAACAAGTGACCCCTTACTATAAAGTGTGATCCTATAGTGTCATATTTTATTAGAAAATATCATTCTATAATGATTCTTGAGCATATATCATTTTATAGAGATAAAAGAAGAGGAAAAGATCAATCAAAGAAAATAGCATGCACTTATTTACATACTAACACTTACTTACATAATACCATACTTGCATTAAATGAAATCATGATAGAAATGATAAGTATGGAAGTATAATGTAATGACCCTAAAATCTCAAACTATGTGTTGTAGGATATATTTGGTTTGAATACGTTTAAGGATGAACTCAGGTAGTGAAGCGATGAAGTTTTGCCAATGTAAATTGTACATCCTTGTATGCATTGGATTATAATAGAAAATTTATCAGTCTTTAGCAAAATGTGTTGTATAGTAACGCTATAAGACAATATCCATTTGTTATCTAGTGAGCAAGAAGGGCAAAAACCACAAGTTAATATTCGGAAAGCCTATATGGAAGGAAACTATTTTTGCAACAAATATTAATTATTGGAGACATTAGTAAGTTGATTAGTTATTTATATGTATAGCAATATTTCATTTTATGACTTGTGATATAAATTACTTTTCCAATTGAAAACCATGTAACTCACACGTCTTCAAATTTACGTAGTTTGTGCTATGTGCTCAGGCTTGGAGATTGGTGTTGAGAAGTGTGCTGATAGACAAATATTTTGATGGACATAGAAAAGGTTGTATAATCTCTTCTCTTTTACTATGGTTGTAGATATTAATTTTGTAACACCAAAAGTTGTAACTCTGATATTTTTCAAGAACTTATTGTTAAGACGCATTGTTATTGTGAATAAAAATTATGGTAATTGTGCAACCACAATATATAATAGTATTTTGAAAATATTGGTGTTACATATAAGAGGAAGGAAAACACTCAACATCTCTCTATTGAGGACAACACACATAGCTAAGCTAATGATGACAGGGTTGTGTAACTTTTACTCGATCTCATTAACTAGCATGTGCATCTGTTATGTAACATTATCTAAATGAACTCGAACTAATCCAAAATAATGTACACACCATATAAATCATATCGTACGAGTTATTAGTTGATTTATCTTTTGAAAAAATATTTTAATAAACTGATAACTACCCAGTTAAATACAAGAGTTAATAGTATTTATTAATAATCAAATATAATAAGTAACCAATAAGTAACCTCTTGTTATAAGGTGTGAACCTATAGGATCATATGTCATTAGATAATACCATTCTATAATGATTCTTGAGCATATAAATCTTTCTCTTTTACCCATGGGAAATTGATTTTCTTCTTCTTTAGACTTCCATTAATGACTGAAATTATGGGAGCATTGAAGTTAGAGTTTGTATGTTTGGCCACGTTTGTTCCAAAAATGGCCCTCAATATGCCTTCCAACTCCATGATGGATCTTTACATGTCATTCATATCAGAAACATAATGAACTGATTAGATGAACATGTCATCTATTTAATTATGTTAACCATTTTCAACTCCCAACTTAACGGAAACTCATGTCGCTTTATTATGTGAATGTACACCCTACAATTGACACTTTCTCTTCCTACAACTAAACATTCAATAGCTGGAGGAACCTCAGGAAGAGATTTTTCAAAAACACAATCTTTCTTTTTGTTCATGGGAATTATTTTCAAACTACAAATTTTGAGAAGATTGATCAATTTTATCAGTTTATCCTTTTAGCGTTTTTCAAGTAGTAAAATTGATATGAACAAATTTTCATTTACATACATCATTCAATGTAAAGTTACATTCTAATTTGGTCCGTAAAAGGTTTGCTGGTGAAACAGGAAGCTTAATCTTTGGGTTGGCAAGAGGGTGGATTTTGTGCGAGTTAACTCTTAGACATGAATGGCTCATGGTGTGGAAATCCATTGTTTGTTCTCTCACCATATAGTTTAACGGTGGTTGTTGGAAAATCGTCAGTTGTTCTCCCACCATTTGGTATAACGGTGGTGTTTATGAGAAGACTGGTATGCCACTGACGTTGTCCACTGTTGGTGGTGTTGTACTGATTGAGATCACCGTCAGCTGTGGTGTTTGCATGGAGGTACTTTGTGTCATTACGGCGGCGGAGGAAATTGGCCCTTCAGCAGTCGGCCTCCATATTTCATTTGTTGGAGCGGTGGTTATCGTCGAGCCACCTTGTTGTGATGCTTCACCGGTGACTGGTGTGAGAACTGGGGCGATAACTGGTTCCAGCTACATCATAAGTTTGTTAAGCTTGTCCGTGTCGCACCAGTTCCACTTGAAGGGTTTTGAGCATTCTAACACTCCTAAGGTGTACATGCAACCCTAGAAACCTTGGATCTATGTTTTACTAAGATACATGCAAATTTGATTTTTTCCAAGGTTCTCAACCTAACTAGCATGGCATGGGGAACTTGAAACATAAAAGCTAGTAGAAAAACATACATTTCTTGTTCCTTGGATTCCATAAGAACTTTGTGAGCCTAGCACCCCAAATGTGATGCCTCAAGTGTTTCACACAACACCACAACTCTTGGAATAACTTTGAGAGAAGTACACAAACACTCAAAATCGGCTAGCCCTCTAGTTCTTCACTTAGTGTCGATTTTGGTAGTCCATGGGGTCCTTTTATAATGTGTCACAAGTAGGGTTACAACATGTAAACCCTAATTGACATGGCTTTTCATTTCCTCCATGATCCATGGGTTTTAGCCTCCATGGAGCATCCATGGAGCACCCTATGGATTTAGCCCAATCAAATAAACCATGGATCATTAGCCCACTATATAAGAATGTATGATTTACACAATCAACCCCATATATTTAATTAGTCTCAATTTTGATCAAAAAATTAATTCTAAATTAATTATTGACCAATACTAATTAAATAATATTTTATTAATACATTAGAACTTATAATATATTAATAAACCATAAGTTTCCTTTTCTCATTTTATCTATCCAAGTGTCATGATGTCATGCAACCGAAATGGACCATGCCAACCGGGTCAAGTACATACCAGAAATAGTTATGAACTTAGACACCTAATCTAACAGTCTCCCACTTGGATAAGTCTAATAACTATAACTGCAAGTATGACTTCAGGAACCGATCAGCAATCGTAGCTCTTTCAAAGTCTCGCGGAACTAAGATAACCTACTATTTAAGATAAGAGATCATATAATCCTCTACTCTCAAGATATCACCCAGACAAATACATGGAACAATGCCGTACTTATTGTCCAGCAGTTTGTTTCCCGATTTCTGTTTTTTTGACATAGAACTTAATCGAACACATCAATTTAGTTCTGACCGGGCCCGGTACATAGTTGAAAACAAAATCATCGAGGGGCCCAGATATCGCTTTTAATTCTCCAAGTACTAGAAGGAACAGATAAACTTCGACTCATATGCTTGTTCTACTACTTGTTGAATAATACACAAAAGCACGTTTTATAACATCAAGTTACCAATGTGTTTTCGTACAATCAATGTATAACCAACTCATAGTCAACAACTCATATCTCTAGGTTTGAAGCCTTATATGATATTACCGTCTCACGATCACTCGCGATAAATTCCATGAAGTGATACAAGTGAGTGTGGGTTGAATCTAATACTCATAAATGATGAGCACTCATGAATGTTGTAGCAACCACTTGCTATGTCTTGCACCTTAGACATCTACAAACCCAATTCATCACAGTCTTGATTCATATCTACTTCCAACATATGACTGACTGTGGAGAGTTTGAATAATATGATATACCATAACATAATTATTCTGGAAGTCAAAACATGCAAAAAATTGAAATGATAGTAAACGATTGACAGAAGATAGAAATGATAAGTATGGAAGTATAATGTAATGACCTTAAAATCTCAAACAATGTGTTGTAGGATATATTTGGTTTGAATATGTTTAAGGATGAACTCAGGTAGTGAAGCGATGAAGTTTTGCCAATGTAAATTGTACATCCTTGTATGCATTGGATTATAATAGAAAATTTATCAGTCTTTAGCAAAATGTGTTGCATAGTAACGTTGTAAGACAATATCCATTTGTTATCTAATAAGCAAGAAGGGCAAAAACCAGAAGTTAATATTCGGAAAGCCTATATGGAAGGAAACTATTTTTGCAAGAAATATTAATTATTGGAGACATTAGTAAGCTGATTAGTTATTTATATGTATAGCAGTATTTCATTTTATGACTTGTGATATAAATTACTTTTCCAATTGAAAACCATGTAACTCACACGTCTTCAAATTTACGTAGTTTGTGCTGTGTGCTCGGGCTTGGAGATTGGTGTTTAGAAGTGTGCTGATAGAGAAATATTTTGATAGACATAGAAAAGGTTGTATAATCTCTTCTCTTTTTACTATGGTTGTAGATATTAATTTTGTAACACCAAAAGTTGTAACTCTGATATTTTTCAAGAACTTATTGTTAAGACGCATTGTTATTATGAATAAAAATTATGGTAATTGTGCAACCACAATATATAATAGTATTTTGAAAATATTGGTGTTACATATAAGAGGAAGGAAAACACTCAACATCTCTCTATTGAGGACAACACACATAGCTAAGCTAATGATGAGAGGGTTGTGTAACTTTTACTCGATCTCATTAACTAGCATGTGCATCTGTTATGTAACATTATCTAAATAAACTCGAACTAATCCAAAATAATGTACACACCATATAAATCATATCGTACGAGTTATTAGTTGATTTCTCTTTTGAAAAAATATTTTAATAAAATGATAACTACCCAGTTAAATACAAGAGTTAATAGTATTTATTAATAATCAAATATAATAAGTAACCAATAAGTAACCTCTTGTTATAAGGTGTGAACCTATAGGATCATATGTCATTAGATAATACCATTCTATAATGATTCTTGAGCATATAAATCTTTCTCTTTTACCTATGGGAAATTGGTTTTCTTCTTCTTTAGACTTCCATTAATGACTGAAATTATGGGAGCATTGAAGTTAGAGTTTGTATGTTTGGCCACGTTTGTTCCAAAAAATGGCCCTCAATATGCCATCCAACTCCATGATGGATCTTTACATGTCATTCATAACAGAAACATAATGAACTGATTAGATGAACATGTCATCTATTTAATTATGTTAACCATTTTCAACTCCCAACTTAACGGAAACTCATGTCGCTTTATTATGTGAATGTACACCCTACACTTGACACTTTCTCTTCCTACAACTAAACATTCAATAGCTGGAGGAACCTCAGGAAGAGATTTTTCAAAAACACAATCTTTCTTTTAGTTCATGGGAATTATTTTAAAAACTACAAATTTTGAGAAGATTGATCAAGTTTATCAGTTTATCCTTTTAGCGTTTTTCAAGTAGTAAAATTATTATGGACAAATTTTCATTTACATACATCATTCAATGTAAAGTTACATTCTAGTTTGGTCCGTAAAAGGTTTGCTGGTGAAACAGGAAGCTTAATCTTTGGGTTGGCAAGAGGGTGGAAATCCATTGTTTGTTCTCTCACCATATAGTTTAACGGTGGTTCTTGGAAAATCGTCAGTTGTTCTCCCACCATTTTGTATAACGGTGGTGTTTATGAGAAGACTGGTATGCCACTGACGTTGTCACTGTTGGTGGTGTTGTACTGATTGAGATCACCGTCAGCTGTGGTGTTTGCATGGAGGTACTTTGTATCATTACGGCGGCGGAGGAAATTGGCCATTCAGCAGTCGGCCTCCATATTTCATTTGTTGGAGCGGTGGTTATCGTCGAGCCACCTTGTTGTGATGCTTCACCGGTGACTGGTGTGAGAACTGGGGCGATAACTGGTTCCAACGACATCATAAGTTTGTTAAGCTTGTCCGTGTCGCACCAGTTCCACTTGAAGGGTTTTGAGCATTCTAACACTCCTAAGGTGTACATGCAACCCTAGAAACCTTGGATCTATGTTTTACTAAGATACATGCAAATTTGATTTTTTCCAAGGTTCTCAACCTAACTAGCATGGCATGGGGAACTTGAAACATAAAAGCTAGTAGAAAAACATACATTTCTTGTTCCTTTGGATTCCATAAGAACTTTGTGAGCCTAGCACCCCAAATGTGATGCCTCAAGTGTTTCACACAACACCACAACTCTTGGAATAACTTTGAGAGAAGTACACAAACACTCAAAATCGGCTAGCCCTCTAGTTCTTCACTTAGTGTCGATTTTGGTAGTCCATGGGGTCCTTTTATAGTGTGTCACAAGTAGGGTTACAACATGTAAACCCTAATTGACATGGCTTTTCATTTCCTCCATGATCCATGGGTTTTAGCCTCCATGGAGCATCCATGGAGCACCCTATGGATTTAGCCCAATCAAATAAACCATGGATCATTAGCCCACTATATAAGAATGTATGATTTACACAATCAACCCCATATATTTAATTAGTCTCATTTTGATCAAAAAATTAATTCCAAATTAATTATGACCAATACTAATTAAATAATATTATAATACATTAGAACTTATAATATATTAATAAACCATAAGTTTCCTTTTCTCATTTTATCTATCCAAGTGTCATGATGTCATGCAACCGAAATGGACCATGCCAACCGGGTCAAGTACATACCAGAAATAGTTATGAACTTAGACACCTAATCTAACAGTCTCCCACTTGGATAAGTCTAATAACTATAACTGCAAGTATGACGTCAGGAACCGATCAGCAATCGTAGCTCTTTCAAAGTCTCGCGGAACTAAGATAACCTACCATTTAAGATAAGAGATCATATAATCCTCTGCTCTCAAGATATCACCCAGACAAATACATGGAACAATGCCGTACTTATTGTCCAGCAGTTTGTTTCCCGATTTCCGTTTTTTTGACATAGAACTTAATCGAACACATCAATTTAGTTCTGACCGGGCCCGGTACATAGTTCAAAACAAAATCATCGAGGGGCCCAGATATCGCTTTTAATCCTCCAAGTACTAGAAGGAACAGATAAACTTCGACTCATATGCTTGTTCTACTACTTGTTGAATAATACACAAAAGCACGTTTATAACATCAAGTTACCAATACGTTTTCGTACAATCAATGTATAACCAACTCATAGTCAACAACTCATATCTCTAGGTTTGAAGACTTATATGATATTACCGTCTCACGATCACTCGAGATAAATTCGATGAAGTGATACAAGTGAGTGTGGGTTGAATCTAATACTCATAAATTATGAGCACTCATGAATGTTGTAGCAACCACTTGCTATGTCTTGCACCTTAGACATCTACAAACCCAATTCATCACAGTCTTGATTCATATCTACTTCCAACATATGACTGACTGTGGAGAGTTTGAATAATATGATATACCATAACATAACTATTTTGGAAGTCAAAACATGCAAAAAATTGAAATGATAGTAAACAATTGACAGAATATAGTAACACTTTACATATAAGTAAGCAACAAATTATTATCATCAATGTGAATTACACTTTACAAATTTCAAAAGCTATATAATTTCTAAAACTAATATCATCCTTTAGCCCAATGCGCCTCACATGCTGAAGATGATTAACCCTACTCAGTCCCTTCGTGAGGGGATCTGTTGGGTTCTCATCCGATGATACCCTCTTTGCTACGAGGATTCCTTCTATTCGATGTATAATGAAATGGTATTAAATTTCGATGTGTCTGGATCTCCTGTGATCCCTTGGTTCCTTAGCTAATGCAACTGCACTTTCACTATAATAAAAAATCTCCATAGGCTCCTTTATAGCTGGTACAACTCCAAGGTCTCCAATGAAGTTCTTCAGCCACATCGCCTCCTTTGCTGCCTTACTTGCTACTATGTACTCTGATTCACAAGTTGAATCAACCATTGTCTCCTGCTTGGAACTTTTCTAAGTAATTGCTCCTCCATTTAAGGTAAAGACCCAACTTGACTGAGAGCGGAAATTATCCCTATCAGTCTGGAAGCTAGCATCACTATACCCTACTACTCTAAAGTCATCACTCCCACCGAGAGTAAGGACCCAGTCCTTAGTCCTCCGCAGGTACTTGAGAATGTTCTTTACCACAGTCCAGTGAGCCTTGCCAGGGTTCCCCTGATATCTGCTGACCATGCTTAAAGCAAAGGCCACATCGGGACGAGTACAAGTCATAGAATACATGATCGAGCCTACAGCGGAAGCATACGGTACTCGACTCATCTCTGCTATCTCAGCCTCTATACTCGGGCTTTGAGTCTTACTCAGTCTGGCGTTACTCTGGATTGGTAACTCTCCTTTCTTGGAATCCTGCATGCTGAACCTATTCAACACCTTATCCAAGTAGGTACTTCGACTAAGTCCAATTAGTCTCTTACTCCTATCTCTCAAAATCCTTATCCCTAGGATATAGACAGCTTCTCCAAGGTCCTTCATAGCGAAATACTTCCCAAGCCATGACTTAACTTCCTGCAGGGTTGGAATGTCATTTCCTATAAGTAGTATGTCATCCACATACAATACCAAAAAGCTAACTATACTCCCACTAGCCTTGACATCTACACATGACTCATCTTCGCTCCTCGAAAAGCCAACTCTTTGACTTTCTCATCGAAACAAAGATTCTATCTGCGAGGTGCTTGTTTCAATCCATAGATGGATTTCTCAAGCTTACACACTCTATTAGGATACTCTGTACTAACAAAACCCTCTGGCTGACTCATGTAAACATCCTCAGCCAACTTTCCATTAAGGAAAGCGGTTTTGACATCCATTTGTCATATTTCATAATCATGAAATGCTGCAATGGCTAGCATAACCCTAATAGACTTAATATTCGCTACTGGTGAAAAGGTCTCATCATAGTCAACTCCCGGAGTTTGAGAAAAGCCCTTTCGGTCTTCTTCTTGAAGATCATTTTCACCCGACTGTGTTACGCCCTGGTACATTTTCAACCAAGTTCCAAACTTGATTGTCATACATGGACTGTATCTCGCTGTCCATAGCCTCTTTCCATTTAGCAGAGTCAGGGCCTACCATGGCTTCCGTGTAGTTGTTAGGTTAATCCAAACTTACCAGTGTACTATCACTGATCAGTGTATCACCTTCCGCAGTAATATGGAAACCATAGTAATGCTCAGGTGCATTCCTAACTCTCGTGGAACGCCTCAGAGGTACAGACTCGTCAGTTGGATCAACGGGAGTTTCCTCTTCAGGTTGATTGCTAGGGTTTGAGGTTCATTCACCACTTGACTCTTGAATTTATTCAAGGTAAATTTGCCTCCCACTGTCTCCTTGGCTTATGAACACTCTCTCGCAAAAGACTCATCTCCTTTCCACAAAGACCACTTTATCGCTGGGTCTATAGAAGAGGTAACCAAAGGATTTTTGTGGGTAGCCGATGAAAATACATCGCTCACTTCGAGGTTCGAGCTTATCATGAGTCTCACACCTCACGAAAGCCTCGCAACCCCAAATCTTGATGTGGTCCAAATTGGGAACTTTCCCACTCCACATCCCGTGAGGTGTTTTGGCAACCTTTTTGGTAGGGACTAGGTTATGGATAAGGGCGGCAGTCTCTAAGGCATACCCCCAAAATGAGATTGGTAGCAAAGCTCGACTTATCATGGAACGAACCATGTCCAAAAAGGTTTGATTACGCCTCTCATCTACACCATTAAGCTGTGGTGTTCTTGGAGGTGTCAATTGTGAGACAATCCCACATTCCTTATGATAGTCAAGGAACTCTGTACTAAGATAACACCACCTTGATCTGATCGAAGCATCTTAATGTTCCTGCCCAGCTGATTTTCCACTTCCTGTTTAAACTCTTTGAACTTTTCAAAGGTTTCTGACTTATGCTTGATTAAGTAGACATAGGCATATCTACTATAATAATCAGTAAAAGTCACATAGAAGCGGTTAGCATCCCTTGTGGTGGTTCTGAAGGGTCCACGCACATCTGTGTGTATAAGATCCAAAAAACCTTCACCCCTAGCACATGTACCAGTGAATGGTGACTTTGTCATTTTTCCAAGTAAACAAGATTCACAACTATCATCCGAATTTAGGTCAAATGACTCCAAGACACCGTCCTTTTGGAGTTGGCCTATGCGTTTCTTGCTAACATGTCCAAGACGACAATGCCATAATGATGCTTTATCCAAGCTAGTGGAAGAATCAATACACAACACATTATTTCCTAGGTTATCTACAACTGACACAGTTTTATATACACCATCACAAGGCAATGCTTTAAAATAAAGAACATTATTATAGAAAGCATTAATACCACCAAATTCATTATCAAATGAAAAAGTAAATCCTTGTTTGTACAAACCGTGAAAAGAAATAATATTTCTCTCCATTTCAGACGAGTAACAAAATTTATTCAAATCTAAACCCACTACTTAGCAAAAAAGAATAAACTCCAATCTTGGTGACAGGTGTAACTTTCATATTCCCCATGATCAAGTTTATCTTCCCATGGTCCACATTCTCACTTCTTCTTAGTCCCTGCAAATCAGAACATATGTGAATACCACAACCTATATCAAGGACCCAAGAATTAGAATAGGGTGAGTTATTAGGCAATATAGTGTAAATACCTGCATGGTTGGGTTTTACTTTCCCATCCATAACATCTTGCAAGTACTTTGGGCAGTTTCACTTCCAGTGTGCCTTTTCATGGCAATAGAAGCATTCAGCCTCTTTAGGGTTGGCAGAAGGAGTGACAGAACCACTTTTGGTTCTACTTAAAGAGGAGCCATCAAGAGACTTTCCCTTGGTACCCTTCGAAGGGCTCTTCATCTTCTTCCCTTTACCTTTCCCGATAGCTAGAACAGGGGCGGTGGTAG